TGACAGCAACTGCCAAAGTCAAGGTTGGTCTCTTGTTCTGGGCCGTGGGTGAGGTTCCAGGCTCTCCGGTGTGCTGGTTTTGGAGGGCACTTCGGGGAGCTCTGAGAAAAGGGGCTGGTTCCCAAGGAAAGAAAGGCGAGGGCAGGACCTGCCACGTTTGGGTTTGACACTTGTGTCTGCAGCACAATTCAGCCTCTCCTGTGCACAGACGAGAGGCAGCACTCGTGTTGTCCTTCTGTCTGTCCTGTAAGATGTTTGGGAGGCAGATTGACTCCTGTTGTTTATAGGCTCATGGTCTGGTGTAGTGGAATTTTGACCTCATTTTAGATCCTTTAAATGGTGTTTTCTTAATGGTGGTACAGTGAGAGGACACACGTTGTCCTTTCTGTCATGAATTAACAGCTGTTCAGAAGATCTGTTTAGGAGACAAGTGGGGTTTTGGCCCTTCATTGTTGAAACATCAGTGCAAGAGTAGGAGGTCTGTTAATTATTAGCTGATTCACTAACTTCTTGTCAAATTTCTCCTTACTTTTAAGCCAAAGAAACTTACCTTCAGCAATTTTGGGAGCCTGAGGAAGAAGAAGCAAGATGATGGGGAAGAGTATGTGTGTCCCATGGAGCTGGGGCGGGTGTCGGGGAGTGGCTCCAAGAAGGGCTTTAAGCCTGGCCTGGATATCCGAGTGTATGACGATGATGATTTGGACAGGCTGGAGCAGGTGAGCCAGTGCTGGCACTTGGGAGTCTCTGTCACGGCAGGACAAGGGGGAATGGGTTCAAACTGACAGAGAGCAGGTTTAGGTTGGATATCAGGGAGAAATCCTTCCCTGGGAGGGTGGGCAGGCCCTGGCACAGGTTGCCCAGAGAAGCTGTGGCTGCCCCATCCCTGGCAGTGTCCCAGGCCAGGTTGGATGGGGCTCTGAGCAACCTGGGCTGGTGGAAGGTGTCCCTGCCCATGGCAGGGGGTTGGAATGAGATGGTCTTTAGGTCCCTTCCAATTTAAACCATTCTGTGACTCTGTGACACAACTGAGTTATTATTGGTTCATTGTTCATTCTCTGTTCTCTGCAGATGGAAGATTCAGAAGGGACAGTGAGGCAAATAGGAGCGTTTTCTGAAGGCATCAACAACTTAACAGTAAGGCTTAAAAGTGGGGTCTGGGGGTCTGTGGAGTAACTTCTCTGTTTCTCTAAGATGGGTCTAAACCCTTGGCAGTCCTCAGTTGGGCCAGCCCTGACTGTTCCCTCGTTTCCTTTGCAGCACATGTTGAAAGAAGATGAGATGTTTAAAGACTTTGCCACCCGCTCTCCCAGCACCAGTATAACAGATGAGGACTCCAATGTTTGATGGTAACCGGCAGGCACTGGCAGGGGCTCACTCTCCTGTGTGCAGGAGCATCATCATCTGATGTGATGGGCAGCAGATCATGTACATTACAGTTGCTCTTGCTTCTGTTTGTTCGAAGGAACGTTGAGGGGGGTGGAGAATTTTAAAGAGAAAAGGAGATTTAAAGAAAAAAAAAAAGGTGCCTACTCTAAAGTTGCCATAAAAGCCACCCAGACACTGGTGAATGGTAATCATTTTAACTCTATTTAATGTACAAACTGGTGATATGTTTCAGAGTGTTGCATTTGTGGTATGATAGTGCTCTTTTTTTGCTTATTCATGGCCTCAGATAATCCTTTATACTGTTGGAAAGTAACAGAAGGTGTTAGGTGAAAGTGTTGAGTCTGTAGATATCGTGCATCAGCTTTCTTTAGGCTCTCAGCTGAAAAATAGAAGTTACTGCTCCTTTTCAAGTGCTTTTGTTTGGCACAGATGCCAGTTCTGCCCTTCCTGCAGTATCCAGTGTAGGATTTTAGTCATCTGTGCCCTGCGTAAGCTCCCCGGTAGCTCTTGACTGTTGCTCTTATTTTTATACTGTTTTATAAAAAAAAAAAAAAGAAAAAGAAAAAAAGAAGTATATGAAGTACATATAAAAGCAAAAATTTAAATTTTGTTGTGAGACAGAGTGATGGAAAGTTGAAGGTGTGTGGGGAAAGGGGAGGAGAAGGTTGTAAAAAAAATTATGCCAGTTTGCAGACCAGCTGGTTACTGGAAAAGGCAGGCTGACCTTTGGAACTGTTTGCTTTTGTTGCTTTTTACTAAGTGCACAGTTTAATGATCTTCCATGTGGGATGAAACAATTCCAAAGCATGTTTTTTCTAGCAGTGACCCGTGTGGAAACTGCACATTTTAAAATGTCTTCTCTCCTGGTCCCAGCAGCAGTAGTTAGAGCATTCAGTGAGGTTGTTAACTCTTCTGTGACTTAAAAACTTCCCTCTAAGCTGAGAGTACTCCCTGCATATGGAAGGGATGTTTCTGTGCTGTGACTGACGTGAAGATGGTGTAGTTGGAAAAAAAAAAGTTATATAGAGAAATGTATAGGAAAATATATTATTTCATATAATTAAACCTAAGGTGGGGCTTCTCCTCCAAAATTCAAATATCAGACATGTTGCTCATCATTAAAGCACAGCTCCTCTGCTTTTGGAGGACAGTCAGGATTTAAAATTCCCACGCAGCCGGTGCAAATGTCGCGTCAGGCTCTGGGTATGGCGAGCAAACAAACAGACAAACAAACAAACAAAAACCCCAGTAACGTTTTATTCCAGTGGTCGTTTGTACGGTGTTGGACGTTGCATGTGTTGTAGCACCATGGCATGAAGCTGCTTTGCTTTGTAAAGGCAAAACCAAGCCCCCAGACCCCGTTCCTTGCAGTGGTGTGTTGCTTTTCCAGGCCTTTCGTCGCTCTCCTCGCTGGAAGTGAGGCCGCCAGGGATTGTAGGTTTGTGCTGGCTTGTGAGGGTGTTTCTAAAACACCATTAGCCTCTTTCTGGGGCTCCCAGGGAACTCCCATCAGATATGCTGGGGTAGATCAGAGGCATATTCTGGCATTGTATTCTTGTGGCCTGATGACTTGGATCTTTGAAGGATGTGCAGGGGAGGTGAAAAATTTTGATTACTGATGTACCAAGATGAAAAATCTGTTGTGGACAGGTTGTGCTGTACATGATGTACACTGCCATTTTCCCTTCAGCAGCTGGAGCCAGGCAAACAGTCCATAAAGTCTACATAAAATACTTTTTGCTGCTTACCATTTATCTACAAACAGATCATAACTGATGCTTTAGTCAACATTCCCCACTGATTCCTGTGCTGTCATTTCTTCCTCTGCAGTCTTGGGGGTGTTTGAGCTGTTTTATTTGGGCAGGAATACCACACTGTGTAACATGCAGATGCTTGGGATGTGGATTCAGGCCTCACTTCCTGTGAATGCTCTGCAGAGTTGTTATTATTTACAGAGAAGTTGAGCACAAAACCCTGTGGAAGCACTGGGAGAACGTGGTGCAGGCTGCCAGGCAAAATTCCTCCAGATTGCTGGCTGGTGAACAGGACTGGATATCCATTGGGGGGGAGAAAGGAGGGGTTAGTGACACAATCCTGTGTGTGGAAATAGGCACAAATATACTCTGCAGTGTCTCTCCAGTCCAGTGTTATCAGTGACAGCAGGGAGGGTTTATTTAAGTCCAGTTTAAGCAGAATTCTGCTCTGAACAGCCCTTTCCTGCACTTGCCAGCTGTCAGCCAGGTCATCCCCTTGGAGCTGCCTGTCACCTGAAGCTGGGTTGATTTATGGGGTGGGAACACAGGAGCAGGTGATGAAGTCAGGATGTTTCTATGTGTGCGCTGTCGATACCTTTGGGGTGTTTCCATTCGTGCGTGTTTGAAGAGGGCAACGTAACTGCTGTGTATTGCCATGTGAATCCAATAAAGTCTGTGGAAAATGCCAAGTGTTTCTGGAAGCTGGTTCCCTTTTCCCCCTTCAGATTTTCCTTGGAAGCTTGTTTTGTTCTGTTTAAAAGCCAGAGGAGGGAATAGGGGTGAAATTGCACATTTTTTGTTGACTCGTTAGTTTGTTTGTCAGCAGTGACTGTAGAAGGGCTCAGCTAACAGCTAAGAAATCAACTATCCCAAGGTGTTTTAGTTATTTCTGGGATCCAGATTTGAACCATCTTGGGTTGTTTGGTGTGGTGTGATGAGAAGGGGCTTCACCGTTGCTCGGTGTCCTCGCAGGTGCTCTGGCCCTTCCTGTTGTAAAAAAAGCATCTGTCTCTCTGCTTCCACGTGCTGTTCCCCTCATCCCTCAGCAGTCAGGAGCTGCTTTGCCAGCAGGAGCTGAGCTTCTCCAACTCCATTTTGTTGCTGTGGTGCAGGTACAAGTGATGGTCACTTGCTTTGCTCAGTGTAGCCTGGATAATGGGACAGAAAATGCAGAACCCTAGTCTGGTGACCTTCAGTGCCCTGGTTGTGTTCATCAGCTCGCTGTTTCAGTGGGAATACTGAGGATAAACACTTTGAAACTTAGTGTATAATAAGCTTCTGTCTGTCTGTTTGCAGTGTAGAGGGAAATACAGGTATTTTTCAGTTAAAAGCCTATGGAGATTAAACCCAGCTTTTTTTCTCTTCGTTCAAAGCACATATACACTTGGGAATGGAGAACTAATCCAGAACAACTCTTCTGACTCCCATCCACCAGGTATTGCTGCATCCTGGCTTTAGGAGAGAGGTTGCACTTGCCCTACCTGAATGTTTTTTTTATACCTTGCGCTGCTTTGTTGTGATGACTGTTTGGTGCAGATTTTATGCCTCACCACAGCACTTGGGGGTTTTCATTTGCAGCAAGAGCTTTTTATTTGTAGCTGTTTGTGTTTGATAGTGGGGCATGTGTGTGCACTGACTGTCTGAGCTTCCTTGAGATAATCCAGTTACAGGCAGCAACAGCAGGAGCTTCTCAGGTGGGCCTAACAGTCCAGCTGAGTCTGTGTACATTGCCATGGGACCACTGACAGGAGCAGCAGGTAATCCTGGGATACAGGCACCATCCCATCAGAAATGATCACAGCATTTCAGGCACCCTGCAGGAGTCTTCAGGTTTGGATGCATCCCCTTCTCTGAGTGCTTAAAAGGTTGTTTCATCTCCAGGAAACAGCCAGTGGTGCCAATAAAATGGCTTCTCTGTAAGAGTCCTAGAAAGGAGATCAAAGGAGATAAGATCAGACTGGAGGGAGATAACATCAGCTGAAGGGATGGTGCCGGGATTAACAGCAAGGAAAACAAGCACAGGTGAATTCAGTAGGTGTGAAAGTTACTGGGCCTGTTGGGCTGGTTGGTGCTCAGTCAGCTGTGGAGAAACACAGCCAGGAGAAAGCCCTGCAGGCTCCCGGAGCTCAGCTCTGCCGCTGCCACCACCGGCACCTGGAAAGCAGCAGGGACCCATGGGCACGATTAACAGGTCTGGCTGAGCACAGCACCACAGAGCCTCTGCTGGAAAAGGACCAGCCTTCCCCAAGGCCGTCTGCATGTGGAAACGACCTCCTCCGGCACTGACGATGGGCCAGAAGGTCTCCCAGGAGGACAACCAGGAGGCCAAGGCAGAAACTCTGCTCATCTGTGAAGTGTTCAGCCAGGGCATGCTCCACGCTTCTCAGAGGCTGAAGGACTATCTTGGTTTTGTGGATCCTCAGAGCAAATTCCAGCCGGCCACAAACACCCTGAGCGAGATCCTTTTGGTGAACTTCATCAGCTTCTGCGTGGAGAAGGGAGCGCAGGAGCTCATCGTCACCAGCAAGATGACCAGGCAGCAGTCCTGCCTCTTCGGGGTGGACTGGCTCTGGACTCTGTCTGGGGCTGACAAGCAGATCAAGCTGCAGATCGCAGTGCAGGCTCTGCAGCTGGCAGAGCTTTTCCACAGGGACGGCGGCCCCACGGGGGAGGAGGAGGATGAGGAGGATGAGGATTGGTGCCGGGAAGCCGTGCTGGCAGACGAGTGCTTCCAAAACAGGAGCCGCTTCGGGAAGCTGGCCGAGTTCTGCCGCCTGGTGGGGCGGGACTGCCTGGGCTTGGTGGTGGTGTTCGGAGTGCCAGGGAAGCCCAAGGACATCCGAGGAGTCCTGCTGGACAGCCTCGCCAGGGAGGGGCAGAAGCGGCGCCTGTCGGGCAGGAGGGCACTGCTGCAGTTTGTCACCAGCACCGACAGCGCCCTGGCCACCAAGGACATGCTGCACAACTGCCTGGGCACGAGCAGAGGGCTCAGGGAGCTGGGCAACGTCTACATAAACTTTGTGTGAGCAGCAGGGGCTGTGTGAGCCTCAGCTCTGCCTCCCCCTCTTCTCTCCTCACACGCCACTACCCACCACCTCTCCCCTGGACCCATGGCATTCCCCGAGCTCCTGCAGAAGCCAGGCTGAGTCAGCCTCTCCGGGGTTTAAAACAACAAGAGGGGCCTGCCAGAAAAAAAAAAAAAAAAAAAAAAAAGTGTTTACAGAAGGCACGTCGTTTTTCCAGAACATTTTGTTCGCCAGACAGCCGAGTCTTGGCTGGGGCTGGGGAAAGGTTTATCAGCCAGATCCTTGGGGAGGTCCTGGTAGATTTGACTCAGCCTTTGTTTGCTGTGTGGCAGATTTTTTTTCTGTACTAGGAGGGTGAGTCTGTACTAAAGAAAGTGTTCTGGTGCTGGCCAGAGTATAGCACTGAGTGTGAAGGACGATGCCAGGGCTCAAACACGCCAGGTAGGAGGAGCAGATGGTTCCCAACTAAGAGGAAAAGCCCCTTCCAGGACTAGAAATTGGCTGTGTGAGACACTTATTAATTATCTGCCCCCTAATGGGTGCCAAGCTCTGGAGAGCCTTGGAGCTGGGACCGAAAAGCAGGGCTGGCCCAGCTGCAAAGAGTTTTCTCACGAGTGGTTGTGGCAGGGCAAGGTGTGGCAAAAGGCACAGGCTGGTGTTGAGGAAAACTTGGAAAAACCCAAGCAATGGGGACAAAAACCAGGCCTGAGGGCGATGGGAGTCTTTGCTTTTCAGAGGCAGGTCCTGACCACTCAAGCAGAGAGCAAAAATCTGGAGGAGGCAAGAATTCACTTGGAATTTGCTTTCAGGAGCTGATTGCATTTATGGACTTGATGTGTTTCATTTCCCTCAGCTTTTAGTGGACTGAGGCTCTTGAATTGTACAGTTGTAATTCCTTTCTTTCAGCCCCTCTTAACCAGTGAAGAAGGACCTGATCCATTTTCAAACAGGTAAACTCACTTTGTTCAGAGCTGTCTGGATAGTTTGGTCAGTTCAAAACTCCTCTACCTAATGCCAGTCACTTTATTTAACAGAATAGAAGTAATTTCAGCAGCTCATTCATCTTTTACTATTTCCTATTTGAATTTTAAGCTGGGGGCAGCTGCAAGGGCTGAGAAACAGAGGCTGTTACCTGCACAGCCATTAAAAAAGAGGCTGAAGAGGCCGAGGCATCAGTGCCACAAGTGTTTGCTGCATTCCATGGCACAGGCAGGGAGCTGAAATAAAACCAGAGGATGGTGGAATTTTTGATGAGTCACAAACAGAGCTGGGGATGGAGAGTGGAGTCCATTCAGTCCTGGAATAACTCGTTAAGAGTTGTTTTTAGAGAGCTGGTGTCACTGTATTTTGTGTGTGTAGCTGGGTTTGGGGGGACAGTTCTGGTGTGTGTTCCATGGAGAACCTGCAGAGCTCTGGGGAGATGTGCAGGGAGAACCTGCAGGATTCACCAGGGGTGGTGGTTCTTTTCTTTTTTTTTTTTTTTTCCTTTTTAAACCAACAGCATAATCAGTACTGCAGCAGGATGAATTGGTTTGTAAAAAAACCTGCAGAGAAGCTTTATTTTTGTGTTAAATTGGTATGTTAGTGCGAGTTGGGCTCTTCAGTCCTGTAGGAACGCTGGATCTGTGAAAACTGGTTGGATATTTTGCATGTCTTTGAAGCACTGGAGAGGGAAGGGGAAAATCAAAATGCCTGTGTAGAGTTTGAACTGTGGGAGTTACACACTGGGGCAGGAATACTCCTATTTTCTGAACTGGCTCAAAGAAAATAATAAAAAAATAAAGTAATATGCAAAACCAGCTTCTATCCTTGACTCCTTTAAAGGCTTTAGTACAGGGCCCTCAAAGCAACAGGGACTGGGACACAGTTCTGGTTCATTGGATCATAGAAAATCTCTCTTTTTATTTATTAAAAGAGCCTCCTGGTGACAAGGGAGAAGATGTACAAAATAAAGGTAAAAAGAGGAGGTTGGAGTGATAGGGAGGAAAATGGAGACAGTTCACTCCTTGACTCGCTATCCAAATACAGCATTTCTGACCAAGCTCAAACAAGAGGATTAACACTCGAGTAAACAAATCTAACATTCTTTTTTGTTCTCTTTTGAACCTTCAGTTTAGAGTGGTTTACACTTGCCTCTTACAAGGTTGAAGATGATGTGCTCACACACAGGTGATTCACCTGCAAGATGCTTTATTTCTTACATAGACATGAAAAAAAAAGCCAGTAATTGAAGGAACAGAGTAAGTAATACAAAATAGTTGGTGCATCATCAGCTCGAGGGTTCTGGTTTGGTTCTTTTAATAAGAAAACATGAAGAAAAAAAAAAAAATGTATGCATACCCTACCATGATACAAACCAGCAACTTCTCTCATAGTTCTGCTTTCTGCCTTCCAGAAAAGGGACTGAAGCTTAAAACTTGAGTAGTATTTCAACTTTGGAGCATTGTATTAAAGAACAAGTTTCAGAAGCACACGTCAAAAATTGAAGACTTGAGGCAAACACTGAATTAATAAAACTAGTAACAGCATTATCTAGTTGAGGTTCCTTAAATTAACTGTATCTTCTCCTTTTGATGCTTGCTGAAAAATGAACCTTTAAAATACACAGTACCCATCTGTTGTACAGGCACAAAAGAAAACACAAAAGTGAGCTCTAACCTTGAATTCCTACTGAATCTTTAAAAATTGGTATTATACACTGACACTTGTAGCTACCCAGCACCCCACAGTACTTCAGACATGACTAAACACCCTTTCAGTCATTCTGATGTCATCACCAGCAACAAGATTTTGAGTTTCCTAGACTGCCTGCAGGGCAGCTCTAGCCTCAGCAGCATCTCTGCTGTTCAGGAGCAGAAGGTCCAGCACACAAAGTGCCTTAAATTGTCCTCTTTTTTTTGTTTTTTTTTCTGTAAAAAAAGTGTATTAAAAAATAAAAGCTGGAGCTATAGCAAACAGCTCCCAAGAAACAGCTTTAGATTGAGTGAGACATTTGAGTTTGCTGTCAGTTTGGTGACTTAACTTAAGGCTGTTCCTGGGCATCCTTACCAAGCAGAAACCCTCGGGAGCTTTGCCTGAGCGAGACGTGCAGGCAACGGGCCACATTCCACACCCAGAGCTGGGCTGCCTGCCAAAATCCACCCTGGCCAGGAAACCTGAGCTCCCCTCAGGCCAAATCCATCTCTGGGAAACAATGAACAACAAAAAAAATCCCACTCAGTGTTCACCTGCATCTTTCTCACACACAGAACAACTCCTTCTGTACCCCTGTGCCATCGCCCAGTATTTAACAGTAAATACAAAATTAGTATTTTTTTTTTTCAGTATTCCACACATCTAAAAGCAAACAAATTCCAGGGATTCGTGGAGCAGTGCCCAAAGCCACCTGTGCCTTCTGTATTTTTATTTCAGTGCCCAGGGATGAGAACTGGGAAAGTGTTTGCATTTAAGAGAGGCTGTTCCAAAATACAAAGGAAACCCATTTTGTACCACTGCCTGCCTCTCTGTCTTGGTTAACAAGGCAGCTTGGACAGCTTCAGCCATAAATGGTCGATTGGCATCTTTAAACTGATGCTGCAAAGATCATGGACACAAGGCAAACACTCCTGGCCCTCAGACCCTACAAAAGCTCCTGGAGGATGACAATTTGGCACAAGCAGCGTGAATATTCCACCACATTCTGTTACTTCCATGGTTCATACCAAATAAAACCCTGGGTGTGCACAGTGTTAGGAAGTAGGATATTACTGCTGCCTGATTACAGGGCTGAGAGAAAGCATAAAGGAGTGTGTGTGCTGCCCTGAGCAGCTGCACTGTGCTCCCTGCAGATGGAGCACACAGAGCACCACTGCCTGTGCAGGCACAGCTTTAGTACAGCTGAGCTTGTGTGTCTCACTTGCCAGAGAGTCAGAAAATATGAAGCATTTTTAAGGTAAATGTAGCTTCCCAGCACTGTGCATCAGCCCCTCTTAACTTTGTCCTGTTCCCTGTTAAATGTTTGCTTGGTTTTTTTTTTTTCCTTCCTTTCTCCATAAGATCCTGAATTACCAGTCATCTTTAGAAGGAGAACCTCATGTCCTTGGAGTAGCCCAGTTTGTCCAGGTTGGGAATGCAGGCATACTGGATCATGGGAGGGGGGCCACACATGAGGATCAGAACGTCGTTCTGAGGTGGGGGCAGGTGGTCTCTGATCATCTCTTGGTTCACAAATCCTTGGCTGTATTCCCAATCTGTTAAAAAAAAAAAAAAAGTGAGGGGAAGGGGAACAAGGGAAAAAGGAGGAAAAGACAAAAACCAGGTCACTTTAGAAAGAAGAAACCCAGCTGCTGAAGTTGTTCCTGGCTGGAAAACACTCCCAGTGATAATCAGTTATGCTGGGACTCAGGTTTAACCATCACATTCCCTGCCCTGGATGCAAAAAAGCTGCTGACCCAAACCTTGGGGCACAGTAAGACTGACAGTCTCTGCTCCTGGTTTTGGTCTGGTTTCACAGATGAAAGCCTGCAGAACAGTCTCGAGGGGGTCTAAGGTCACTTAAAAATTCCCAGATATGGAAGAGGAGCAGCGATCAGAAATTCCAGGACAGCACTAACTGTGCATCCCTGTGTGAGGAATGATGCTCCTGGATGCACCCAGAGTTCAGTAAGCAAGAACTCAGTCACTGGGCTCAGACAGACAGTGACACACACGCATCGACACTCAGGAGTGACAGAGTGGCAGTGCAGCTCTTACTTTCAGGTGCCCTGTCCAGCGTGTACCAGCACTTAAAGCGCCCGGGATTCTGGGCCTGGATCTCCTCCAGCTCGGAACGCAGCAGGATGTCCTTCTCAGTCTGCAGGAGGAGGAGAACAGTGATCACTCTGAGTGCAGCCCTCACATCCCCACAGAGCAGCAGCTCCTCTGAAAGGCCTGGGAGACCAACAGGTGACTCAGCTCTGTTTTACGGGTTGAGGACAGCAAGCACAAGTTATTGCCCTGCCTATCCTGTGGCACAGCTAATAAAAAGGTTCATAGGAACTTTCCCAAATCCTGACCATGCCATGCCTTCCCCCTAAAAATGAAACAAAGCAGAACTTGGATCAAAACACAGAACCACCACCTAATCAGGGAATCAGAAGAATAAAGTCCTGTCCTTTTTAGCTCTATTACAAAAGCAATGTTCACCAAAAAACAAATCATGAGTGCACAGAAATACCTCCCTTTCACCTTTGCCAGTTCAAGCATCATCAGCACTGCCATATGGAGACTGCCTGGTTTTTAAAAAGGATGTGGAACAAACTACCAAAAGGGTATCAAGTTCTGGTTGGAACCACAGATGTTACCCAGGGTATCAAGTTTGCTCCTCCCTGATGCACCAGCACTGAAGACCAGAAGAAAAGAGAAGAAAAAAGAAAAAGAAAAGCCTTATTTCTGTAGGAACAGCTGCAGGCTGGGCAGGAAGGGAAAGGGTAGAGACTAAAAGTGGTGCCACCCTCTGCAGGCTCAGTAATGTGGCACTGAGGTCACTGCTATGTCTGTAGCTGGGGGGGAAGGGAGTGAGCAGGAATGTGCCAGCAGCTATTCCCAGGAAGCTGCCTATTCCTGGAGCACCCACAGCTGCAGGTCCAGAACAGCTATTACTGGCTCTGACCAATTCAAGGAGTGCCACCCAGCACTTTATGCCAACTCCTAAGGCTTGGCAGAGCCCAGCTGCTCCAGCCAGCAGCAGAGGGCACTGGCAGGGCTCCTCTGGAAAGGGAATCTTGGCACTTGGATCACAACTTGTGGGAAGAAAAATCTCAGCTTGTAACTCAGATATCACAGAATATTAAAATGGCCTGGGTTGGCAGGGACCTTAAAGATCACCCAGTTCCAACCCCCTGCCATGGCAGGGACACCTTCCACTGTCCCAGATTGCTCAGAGCCCCATCCAACCTGGCCTGGGACACTGCCAGGGATGGGGCAGCCACAGCTTCTCTGGGCAACCTGAGAGGGAAGGATTTCCCTCTAATATCCAATCTAAACCTGCTCTCTGTCAGTTTGAAGCCATTCCCCATGTCCTGTCACTCCAGGACACACTGAATGTGAAAGGAGAGAGGAATAACAGAGAGGAGCCTAAAGAAGCTAAAAAACACAGGCAGGAAGTGAAGCTCCCCACAAATAATGACTCATAATCCAGAAACAACTCCTCATTAAATGGAGATATTTAAAGCCTCACCTAAGGTGTCCTCAAAGAGAAAGACCCCACATACAAACCCTGCTGCAAGGCTGGGGAGTCACAGCTGCTGAAGGAGACAAATACCCATCTCTGTCACGTTTGCACTCAGAAAGACAGCTCTGAAAGTCAGCCCAAAACTTTAACAACTTGCCCAAAGGAATGCAGAGTTTTCCAACACTCATGAACTGGATTAGAAGCAGAGCAGTGAGTCACAGGAAAAGGAGCATTAGCTGGGAGGAAAGCAGCATTTCTGCAGCAATGCTAAAATCCCAATTGTTTCCAGTGCTTTTCTATGGCAAGGGTTCAACATCTCAGCTCACTCCTCCCCTCGGGGTTTGCATTTCTGTACCAGGCTTCCTCAGAGAGGATTTCATTTGCTGAGTGGAGTTCTGCTAGTTAAGTAAAACTTCACAGACATAAAAAGAGGAGGGAATTACCTGATTAGCAAACAGCAGCTGACAGACGGTGGGGTCATCTTTGTCCTTCATGATCGCTTTGATGATCTGCAGCATCGGGGTTATCCCTGGGAGAGAAAGGCAGGACAGCCATGTGAGAGGAGTGTGAAGGAGCAAAAGGAGGGAGAAGTGAGAGAAAATGTATCTCCCAGCTCTGAGAAACCAGGGGTGAATCCTTACAGACACGTACCAGTCCCACCTGCAATCATCCCCACGTATTTCACTGTCTTAGGGACAGGCTCAGCTTTCTTTTCTGGCCGAATATCAAACTTGCCTGAAGAGAGAGGGAGATGCAAACCATTGAGGAGATCAGCAAACACAGCACTGCCTGTTAGCCCTCTCCAATCCCTAACTGCCTTTGTTTCAGCCCTGTTACCTTTCCCTCCCAGCAAACAGCAAAGGTGAAGATGTCACAAATTAAAACAAATCCTGCAAGATGATAACACTGACATGGGTTATTATTCACTCCTGACATCAACACATCACTACCTGTACTCATATTTGCTCACATCCCACAGCCCCAGTGATATTCAGAAGCCCAGGTTCTGGAAAGAGTTCTACAGAAAGGAATTAATCTGCTCAGAGACTTTATTTACCCTGTGCAGATTATTTTAAGGGGCAACCTGAAACATGCAGGTGTTATTTTTTTATATATTTTTTTCTGTATTTTCCTCTTTTTGAGCTGATTTGCCAGTTTCAGCCAGACCTGACAGAGTTTGAAACTCCCCAGAATGTTGTATTTATTGTATTCACAGCCCTCTTCATCCAGGACAGCATGAGCAGTACACACAAAGCTCTGGAAAACCACGTGCTGGGAGCTCTGCTGCTCACAAAACTGCCAGAAGGTTTTTTGTGACACGCTGGGGGCTGCACTGTGCCAAAGTGAGATCTTTTACAGTGACACAAAAGTCCTGCCTGCTCCTAAAGTTCATTTTCCCTTGGGAAATCAGCACTGGGCAGTGCAAATGCCAAGTGTTTTTATCAGTGTATAAACTATGGCCATGACAGCAGGGAGAAAATTCCCTCTGTTTGAGAACAATATCAACAACAAGCACTTCTATAGTAATAAGTCATTTTTCCTGTATTATTTACAACTTATTATATTTTAAGTTACATCTTTCAAAGCAGCCTTGCCTTTTCCTTTGTAGACAAGGAGGCCACTTGGTCCTCTGAAGTCAATGGTGTCCCCTATTTTCAGGCTGTCCAAGTACTGAGACATCTTCCCCCCATCAGGAAACTTTGGGTGGACACCTCTGAAGTAGACCTGTTAAAAACAACAACGAAGGAACTGATCTCAAAGGTGAGCATTTGCCCTTCAAATATTTAGGTTTATAGGTATAATAATATTTTTAGGTAATATTTATAAACATGCTCCTCATGCAAAGAACATCATTACTCCCTAAAGAAATACCAGTGCAGATCTGACTGACAAAAAGAAGATTAAAATGCCACTCTTGCCCCAGTTTTTGGACACAGACTGGCAATTTCTCCATTCTATTTCTGTAACACAGAAAGTATCACAGAAATCAGCATGATTTACACCCAAGTTCAAAAGGGGGTAGAAAAAATAAAAAAAGCCCACACCAGTGATTTCAAAAAGTAAAATTCAGAGAGGAAGTCCATGCAGATATTCATATTTTAAATTCCTGTCAGCTTCAAATGACAGGTAGCCTAGCTAGGTAATCCAGCTGCCAGGAGACAAAACAAAAGGACATTATCCTAAGACTTCAAATCACATTCTTACCAATGAAATCAGTCATTCACACTGGCTGGATCAGTTACAACCATGGTCACCGCTCTCAGTGACCATAATGACCATATTCCATCAGCTTCAGAGGCAGCTGACCTTCCAGGCCAGGTTAATTCCTCACTCCAGAGGGATTAAAAAGCGTAGGAACATCTGCAGGTCTCGCCAGGCTTTGGAAAAGCCCAGCAGGGGGGTCCAGGAGATGACGCAGCATCTCAGGAGACACTCGAGAGGTGGCTGCCAAATGCCTGGCAGGTTGTTGGTGACAGGGCACGACATTCTCACCTTGACAACGAGGTCCACGAAGCCCTTGTCATCGTCACTGGAGACAGGGGTGTACGGTCTGACAACCAGCGCCCCGTCGATGCGTGCAGACAGGTAGATGTGCTGCCCTGCACCCAGGGAAACGAAAAGAGCCATTTTAGTTCAAAGGATTATTTTATTCCAGGGATGTCCACTGTGCCTGGGCTGCCAATGCAGCCTGGAAGTTCTCCTCACCACCTTGTTTTGGGGCATCACTTGTGCCTCTCTCACTTTCCTGGCACTGTAACACCTTGCCAGAGTTGTTGACCACGCACAGATTTTACCTGCAAGGGCAAACAACTCTGCTGCCAGTTTTATGTGCCAGTCACATCTCTGCTGACACCTTCACATTTACCACAGCCCTTAAATGTACATGAGATTTGCAAAAGGTGTGATTTGCCTCTCCTGGACAGACAAGTAGAAAGGCCACGGGAGGGGAAACCTGTCCGGTGCTGTTCACACCTCCTAATTAACATCTTAGTTACAAACTGCCACAGTTTAGTTAAAACTGAGTTTATAAAGTGTTCTTATTTTGACCACAGATCCCCCACGTCTTCCCAGGAGGTCTCTTTGCTAAGGCTGCCCAGAACACAAAGCTCTTTTCTGACCCTGCTACTCCTCCAGCTTAACATGTGAATGCTGTGATCACATTTCCACCTGTCACATGTTCTCTGAACTCTCTACAATAGTTTCTTTTCTCAATGTCAACATTTTTTTTTGTGTAAAAAACCTCTGTAAGGTTTTCCTATAAAATTTCAACATTCTGAAGAGACCCAAGTGAAGAATAACTGAGGGCGAGGGGGGGTGAAGGGTTTGTTTTTTGCTATTTTATCACAGCTAGGTCAACAGAACAAACTATCTCCCCTGCCTGTTATGGGAACACAAAGAGGGGATTTTACCACGAGCTGGTTTGCAAATGATCATAATGACCATATTCCATCAGCTTCAGAAGCAGCTGACCATTCAGGCAAGGTTCATTCCTTATTTCAGGGGGATTACAAAGCGCAGGCAAAGCAGTGGGTGGATGAAGATGTGCCAGCTGGTGACCTGGGAGATGAGCAAGCACCACTGAGCTGAAGCTGGACACGGACACAGCGTAAGGGTGGCTCCTCCAGCCCCCTCAGCAAAGCCTCCACACACCTGGCAGCACAGGGGACACCTGCAGGGAGCTCCTGTTCCTCCTTCCCAGCAGCCTGTCAGAGCACAATTCACCATTAAACACAAGCCACAATTAAATGCTTTCTATACAAGCAGGAGCTTGTATCCAATGGCACTGAGAGATTATGGAAGCAGCTGCCCCACGGGGATTGAGAAATTCCCTGAGAGTGGCTGCAGAGTCAGAGGTGAGGAGGAGATCACCTGGTGAACCACGTGTTGCCAGAGGAGAAGTGGCTCAGAGTGGTGCCCCAGGGGATGCAAAGGGATCAAGCACCACAGGAATAACACAGGCTGGAAAGCTGAGACTGGAAAAATACAATTAAAGGCCAGTGTTTGATCGTGTTCCCTTCAGGGGAACAAGCTGGATGTACACTCACTGTAAGCACAGCAGATTTCAGACCCTGCAGATTACACACAGCGTGAGGATAATCCTGCAAAGCTCCAAACACCGGCTCAAGCCACAGGGACAGCACTGGAAATTCAACAGCTCGTTTCCCAAACATGGGGGGAAAAAAAATCTCCTGTAGGCTAATTAACACTTGGATTCTTCCTAAGGAACGTACCTAGAGGCAGACCCAGCACGTGCTCCATGGAAGGGAGAGCAAACCGGAATCTTCTCGTGTCGTGACTGACTTCCTGAAAGGGGAAATGGGAAGAACAATAAGCTGTGGTTGGGGTTTAAAGATGTAAAGTCTGTGATTCCCCTGCAGGATTAACGATCTGGGGGACAGCAGCACCCCAGCTGGCATTTCTGCGTGATGCAAATGTGAGCTCTGAGGGCAACTTTTCCTTCAACCCCCTGAAAACTTCTCTCAAAATATTTCAGAAGTAATACAGGATTAAAAATAGAAATAAGTACCCTTCTGCTGTTATATTTAAAATGTGAATACCAAATGTTAATGATCCTCATATGCAGATTAATATTAAATGATAACTTTCTTAATATTATGAGCATTTACACTGCCTTCTGTGAGACGGCCACAAGATAAAAATTAATTAGCTCTTCAATTCTCATTTAAATATGCAGTAGTTCAAGGCCAAAATATTTTGATTTTGATCTCTCAAAATCAGGTGAAATAACCATTTCAATGCAGAAGATGATTTCAGAAGACACCAGTGGCTGTCAAGATTAGGAAGTAGCAACCAGGTTCATTTTGCTATGCTAAGAGCCTTAAAAATATTTTCCCTGTAAGAACTGAATTTATCTGTAAAAAAAAATGAAAAAAGCACTCTACTTAGATATGAACTTTATTACAAAATTATGACAATGTATGCAGCTCAGCTGGGATAATTATTCTAATCTTTTACTAGGAAAGTCATACCTTGAACAAAAGTTTGGCAATAAGTAAATAAAATGTTATTTCTTATGCTACTATTTTAAAAATCAGGTCATATTCATAGGAATGGAAAACAGCAAAGGAAGACAGAAAGGCACAGCACAGAGCTGAATGCCTCATCCACTGACTTCCTTTTTTTAAAGCCCTTTGGGACTAGAGGAAATTTAATGAACATTCCATAGAATATGGTAACTCTTATTTTGTTTGTTTATTTATTTTTAAACTAACCAATGGAGACAGATTCCTTCCTCATCACAGTTTGTCTCATCTTCCCTTACTCTGCTCACACTGATTAAATTTTCCTCACAACAACTCCTTTTGAGGTAAATCCTGAAGGAAAAGGGAACTGATTGGCAGCCAAAGAAGGGCTTCTCTGTACTTTTGTCTCTTCAGGAGCAGTAACTTCCAATAAAAATTCCTCTAGAAAGACACCTGCTGTGGAGTTAACACTGCTGCTCTCACACTGACTGTTCCTGAGTGGAAACTTCAGCACCAGCTTTCCCGCTTCAAAGCTGGATTTTGCCAATAATCCCGTATTTTTATTACGCTCTCTTTACCCTCTCACAGAGAGCACCAAGTTCCCAAGTCCCATTTAATCATCTCAGCAGCTGAAGTGGAGATGGCTCAGCTGAAGGGGACTGAACACAAGCATTTTGGTGCATCACAAGAGTCAACTGTGAGGAGCACCAAGAGACTCCAGACATTCCGAGATCAGCAAGGCTGTGCCTCCAGACACTCCTAGTCCCCAGATCAGCAAGGCTGTGCCTCTGCCCTGTCACACAGGCAGGGCACTGAGCCAGCCACTCTGCAAGCTGGGAGCCAGGGATGCACTACAGCCAGCCCTGACCCGGGATGCAAGAGCCATTTCCAGCGTGGGATCACTCTGGCTGCATTCCCCAGTGCCATCCCTGCATTCCCCAGTG